GTATATATGTCATATGTATATATATATATATATATATATATATTTATATGTATATATGTATGTATGTATGTATGTATGTATGTATTTATATATGTATATATGTATGTATGTATTTATGTATCTATGTATCTATGTATATATATATATGTATCTATGTATGCATCCATGTATGTATGTATGTTTGTATGTATGTATATGTGTATGAATCTATGTATGTACGTACATATGTATGTATGCATGCATGTATGTATGTTATGTATGTATGTATGTATGCATGTATGCATGTATGTGTGTATGTATGTATCTATGTAGGTGCGTGTGTGTATGTATGTATGTATGTGTGTGTGTTTGTATGTATGTATGTATATATATATTTACATATATATATGTGTGTGTGTTTACATACACAAACGTCTATTTTAGTCCGCCCTTGCCATGTATCTCAATACCCATCCGGGTTTCCTTTACTTCACCTGACTTTACACTGTATGCACAGGTGCATGTACACGTACTTCTACATACGCATATGTGCACGTGCACATACGCCTATCTCTGGTCATCTTTGCACGGATCTTAATACCTATCCGGGATTCTCCTACAGCACTTGACGCTAATTCGATTCCCCACTGACTTGTGTACGGACTTGTGCACCCCGAGAGAACCCAAAGAGCTCGCGAACGAGGCCAGTCGCATTAAATTAAAGGCGAACACTGTAGCCCTGGCGCGAAAGGCTCGGATAGATAAGGTATTAGAAAAAATCGATGTGTTGGGCGTTTCTAAAACTGATCAGCCATGCCGCATGAATCTGCTGCCAGAAGCATTGGACAATGGATGTGTGTAGTATATGTACATCACTTCTGGGAGAGAGAAAAAGAGGTGCGCAAAGCGATGGGAACGCCTTTTGTACGTATTTTAGTAGCCAGTGCGTTGTTATAATACGCAGATGCGCGCATGCATGTCTTCTAGCACACTTCCTTCGATATTTACACCACTCTTGTCGAATCGATTTATATGTATTCACAGAGGTACCGGAGATGCTAAGGTAAACATGCACACAGTAACCTTCTGGTCCATGTGTGAATGGGTTGGCCTGGTGTGCTCAGCACTCCACAGGGAATGCGCATGCGTTGTACGGTGATGTTCTACCTCATATTAACATGCAAATGCCTATAAAACCATATTCAGGCATATATCTACAGTCTACACCTCTATTGTTGTTGCAAAGAGTAGTATATGGTGCTGACACCAGCATAAACCCCTCCCACACCTAGGGTTCTAGCGTTTTGGATTTATGCTCTAGAGTAAGCCGACCCACATGTGTTTCTGTCACAGGCACGTCGAAACAAGGCTATGAAGACCCTCACGGCGTTACCAGCTGACAGAGACTTCAGTTTATTGGACGAGAAACAACGAGAAGTGATGTTCAGTATGGCGGTGGACTTTGTGCACCATCAGATCACCAAGGCAACGCTGACACCAATCCAAATGCAGTATGCCACTAAAGTAAGTGTGTGTATGCACACGGGTGAGGGTTGTATGTGTCTGTGGTACCGTCTGATTGTTTACAAGTCGATTTATGTGTTCTGTGGGCAGACATTGCCACTTGTACGGAGAGACACATACGGTATCTCAAGTATAGTTCGAAACATCCACAACCACATACAAATCATTGCTTTGGTAAAAGCGAGTTCTCACTGTGGTGCACAAGTAAAGTCTGGTGTAGATGGATAGTTAGAAGCTCCATGCTACGGCTCTATTGGTGCTATTATAATGTGCACTCTCCCTCAGAGAAGGCTGTGCGTTGTTTCAGACTTCTGCATACACTAGAATTCCTTTATCCATGTACGTTTCTATCATTTTTCAGAGTGTCCACCTCATGTTCGATGTAATGCAATTGTCAGGCTCGTGCTCACTCGCAGCGGAAGTGTTCGCGGAATGCTAATTCTCCCCGTCTCTGCATAGAGCGCTAACTACGCATTGTCTCTATCCCTGAGTGTTGTGTAACCCTCGGCATGTTATAAAAATTACATAGATAATCTATGGTAAGGCGCTTCATTTTAGACGTGCCTGTAGTATACACTTGCCAATATATCTATTGTATAACACTGTTTTAACAGGCAACGTTACTGAGTGTGTTGGAGGTTCTGTACAGTCAGCAGCAACTGCTGATGGACGCTCTGGATCTGTCACAAGGTACTGATGAGACTAATGAAGTGCACACAGAAATGCGCACGCTGCAAACCCAAATAGCGGCACACCTGGACCAGCTCAGCCAAGTATCAGAGAAAGGTATGGACATCAGTTCTCTATCTCTGAGTATAGTGAGTCGCATAGTGTTTTATGAGTATTCCGAGTTGGTTATGGCTTGCCTGAGGGTTTTATTTCTTTCTATCGCATATAACTTCAAACCAATAATTCCTTTAGCAAATTTGCCTCCCGTCTTGTTATCTTATGTTTCATACGCGACATGGATATGAGGTTATAATGCGATTCAGCACGCACTCATGCTATTGTATCGATACAACACTCGCAGAGACAGCCCAAGTCGGATCGAACACGAAAGTCGACATCGATAAAAGTGCCCTCTCTCTGGGTCTAGTAGAAGGCCAGCCAGCCTTCGAAAGGAAAAATAGTACGGATCAGAATGTTTGGAATCTTGCTATGCGCGTCAATCCTTGAATGCACTGTCCCAGCCTGGAGATATAAAAAAGGCAGGTTTGGTACTTATAACGCAGATTTAAAGGCAAAAAAGCTTTACTGGATCAAAGACTGATAAGATACTCAATAAAAAAACAGTACATGGGATGTGGTTCTATTTCTACTACAACTCTCCACCAGCGATCGCTCGCACCCTTCGGTCAGTGAGCAGCAAGTGCACAACATCGTGGTGACCACTTTTTGCAGCCAATCTCAGCGCACTATTGTTGCGGTCAGACGGGTCAATATCTGCATGCGCCAAAAGTAGCTCAACAAGTTCTGTCTCCCCCTCTTTAAGTGCAATGGCCAAGGCCCTCCCCTCAATTGGTTCTTTGCTGAGCCTCAGTAGAAACTCAACCACGTTTACGTGTCCATTGGCACATGCCATGCGGATGGCGTAGTTTTGCAGGCTCGCCGGTTTAACGCGTGAATCCTTACTGAGAATTTCTACTATGTCACTCCGCCCGTGTTCAGCGCTCATACGCACAGCATCGTCATCCGCTGCTGCTGGGTCAACACGTTGGTCTTCCAGAAGCATCTTGACAACGTTTGTATGCCCTTTCTCGCACGACCATCGTATGGCGTTGTTATTGTCATCAGCAGGATTGACTCGTTTGTCCGCCAGCAACACAGCAACAACGTCTAAGCTCCCCTTTAAACTAGCGTATCGAATGGGAAGGTTGCATTGCATGGCTGGGTCAACCTCGCACTCGTTCAAAAGAGTCTGGACAACTGAAATATGACCGTACCTACATGCTAGTAATAGTGCAACATCGAACGAGGACGTGGACGGCAGATAGTTCGTCCGTATCATCCGTTTCAAGATATCTTTGTATCCCAACGCACATATGATTTGCATAAATTGGATGCGAACCTCACGACTATTGAATTTTGTTAAAAAAATCCAAACCCCCCCTACTCCACGTCGAGAATTAAGCCTCTCAACGTATGAAACGAGAGGGTGCTGGCGATGTAGTTTGACTTTGGTAATCATTTCCAAGTAATCGTCGACTGAAATCGCATCAAACCGTTGTTCTACAGGCAGGCGTAGAATTGTGTTAAAAATTACTGCCGACTCAACCAAAACGCTATCAGAAATTGCCTTTAGTGTCTTACAGCTCAAGGCTAATTGCTGGTGGTCATCTACGCACAATGTTTGAACAACGCGCTCCTGCAAGTCTTGGGGTAAGCTGAGTATGTCGAACATGATGAACACGGACTATTATGTCGAACTATGGGGCTTGGTATCTGGACGGCCAGGCATCGTGTCCAACAATTAAATACAGAGATGCGTACTGGATGGTAAATAATACAATAAATACCTTCCTTCCATGATATCGGGTGATAAGAGATCCACTTTCTTCATTACCCTCAATGGAGCACATATCGGCGGAAAACGAGATTGCCGCCAAAAAAAAAGATCCCCGCCTGCCTATTTGTAAATACTTGCGGTTTTCCGTTTTGTAGACGCCTCTGTCTCTACGGTAGTAGAGACTAATACATAAAGTGTCAGAGAGAGAGGAGAGAGAGTCACCTAACCGCCCAGGTACTAATTTACTACCATCACGAAGACATTGTCACTGGGAGTGGGGAGTTGTGATTTGTGAAGGTGAAACAGTGAGCCTCTGGACTGTCCGAATATCCGAAGACAATTCTGACTCCGTCCCAGTTGTCCACCGTCCGGCCCGGAACTGTAAACACCTATGCGTCTGCACTTGTCCGGATTCTCGCTGTCGTTCCTGTCCGGTCTACGAATCTTGCAGATTTGAAATCTCCGTCAGACTGCAAGTTTGAAATTTCATTTTCAGGAGATTCTTTTTTTTAGGAATCATTTCATATTATTTCCTCGTCACCATTTTCAGAAAGCCTCGTCGGATTTTGGCTTTTAGGGACTTTATTTTTGGAAACGGAGAGTACATATGATCCGATTTCAGGTCAAGGACTTTTCCGTATTGGCATCCATCAACCCCCCTCCCCCTTAAAAAAGGCCTAGTTTACTTGTGTCCATAAATCTGAAGGATGTCCCGATAAATAGAGAACTTTCAGTCAACCTTCATCGCCTCTGTCAGACTGAATGAGTGACGAGTCTTTAACATACGTTATACAGCCGCTGGTAAATACATTTATCTTTCGTCAATTAAAAACATGTTTATTTATAGTACTTCACTTACCATGGCAATCTGAAAATGTCACTGGATGATTTTAAAAATTGATTGTCATTCAATGTGACTAGTAGTGAGTAGTGACAATGTCATCACTCATCACAAATCATTTCTGAAAACAAATCTGAAAGACTACAAACTCTAAGACCTGTCACTAAAACGTGTCCAAGATGAACTTTCGGACTACTTCTTTAAAATGTGTGAAGTTGAGCAAATTTCCTAGATTCTAGTACGTATTTAAACCGTAAAGGTGAGTTTACGTAGAAAAAATACGATTCCCGTCAATCCGATCCGAAAGCAAAATTATATTAGAGGGTACAATGCCCTCGAAAGTTTGCCCTCGTTCGAATTGAGTGCAAATTTTGGTTTACTTTTCTTTTGGAATTGGACATATGAATCTGAAGTAGCAACGCAAGACTTTCCCGTTAAATCCCACCAAACATATCCTCAGTTTCCATATATGTAGCGAAATTTCGAACATAAACCCATAGCCTTCTAAATTAAACATAAACCTGAACCCGCTTTAAAAGACAGCCCCTCTCTGAGTCTCAGGCATCCACCGAGAAACATGGACTATAGTCCTAAGTCCATAGTCCATACTCAAGAGCTAACCTCATATTTAACGTTATTGCTTTTGTCAAATATACTGAATAGACGCTGAACGGGGACACATATTTATCCAATTTATGAGCGTTTTAACGTTTTCACAGATTTCGACAGCAACGCTTTTACAATCTGAAAACGTTTAAACGGGAAACGGCTTCAGGTTAGCTCCAGACTCCAGATGAGACTGTATTTCCAGGCAACAGTTCCGTTAGTTCGCGCCCTAAGCAGTTGCACAACAAAATCAAGGAGGTGCACAGTGTGCACACTCGTAGCTGTGACTCGTGAGTTGTGAGTTTAGCAATTCAAATAATCGAGTATTTCGACTTTAGTTTTTTATGGATTCATGTCTTTGGCGTACCTTTTTAGTGGAGATAGCATAAAGCTGTGACACGGACTTGATGACAATTTAGTCATATTCTTCACATGATATCGCTGCGAAATGAAACAGCAGACTGCACATATCATCGAGGAATATATCTTGATTCAGCGCACGGCACATAAGCTTGCTAGCAGTGTGCAACGATGCAAGCTAGTTACACTTGATAAATATCGCTAATCTCTTTAACTTGTGATTGTACACGAATACGCCGAGCGAGTGCACAATGTTGATATGTGGCTTGCGCTATGTGTTTTTTTCTCTGCATAATGCAAATACTAATGCGTGCCGTGCACGAGTTTCGCGTCGTAGACTACACTGACAACCATCTAATTATTTGACAGCTTGGAGAAGGTACTGTCAACTGTGTCATACCGCTCATCTGCGCTTGCAGTTTTATATAAATACAAGTCCAAACTGCGACGAGGTTATTATAATACACCACACGTCCACACTTCGAAGTTCTAAAAGTGACCGACAGTTGGAGTGCGATTTGTATGTATATACTATGTACTATGTTCAAATACTTGACGTGTATGAGGACCGGTTCCGGCGGTACGATGATGATTGGTGCAGCAGTAGAGCTACCGGGTGTACATAGTCAAATCCAAAATCAGTTGAACACATGCGCACTACTCCGTGAAACTGGCATAGGAATTAGAATCTAGGCACATTCCGATTTCCGAGGCAACTGGTCCTGGACAGGCTGGACTCCTAGCAACTTATTTAAAAAAAGTTCCTGACTATTTTTATTTAATTAAAAAAACAAATAATTTCCGAATTCAAGTCTACAAAGTTCAAAGTTTAACTCTTGTTGTTGTTGTGAACTTGTGTGTGTGGGACTGTGGGTCTGGGTCTGGGACTTCTTCTAGAGTTGTGCAACTTGGTGACACACACTGAGAAGAGTAAAGAGTCGACAAGGGTCCAAATAGTTTTATTTATTTATTTATAAATGTACAGTTTTAGAATTGTGATCTATTCGATCACCGAGTTTATAATATTTCCATAAAGTAAGTTCAACTCGTTACGGTGAAACATTTTAGATTTGTGATCCATTGAATCCACGAGTAATATACTTCTAATGATTTAATTCAACGATATGAACTTAAATCGCGACAAGTTGTTGTAAAACGATATATCATTCAGCTTTCTCTTTTTAATCTAATAGAAACTAAAATTAACAATATCGCATTCAATAAGAGCTTATAGAACCATTAATATGTTTTGCAAGGAGCAGGTTTGACATTTCGGGGTTTGCTATTATTTAAATACACAGATGAGATTGCCAAAAAAAATGTAATTTTATTGGCTATAATTGTTAGAAATCTCTCGGTTCTCATATCAGTGAAATTGGTTATTCACTCATTCGACCTACATAAGTTGGAAATATTGGGTCGATGGAGTAAGATGGAGTGGCATGGAGTGGCATGGAGTTTTATGAGCAAATTGGAAAAGATGGAATTGAACCCAATGAACACTGATAAATCCCTGCCTCCCATTAAAAAGGGTGGAATACAGATTTGTAGTTGAAGGGTTGAAGTAAATATATGTTTTTTTAGTAAATATTTGGTAGGCGATTGAGTCTCAGTCTCTCAGCCCTCATTATTTTTATTAAAAACAAATAAACTATGTTCAGTTAAATTTCACCTATGTCTAAACCGGCAGTCCGGCAGTCTCGGACCCTCAGCCCCTCGGGGCTTGGGCTCTCGGCCTCGCCTTGGGGGCTCAGCTGCTTGCGCTGCCTTCTACCCTATCTCTATAGTAGTAGTAACCCTGGGCGGCTGGGCTAGAGAGGCCTCTACTACTAGAGGCCAGCACTCTGGCTGAGTCTGGCAAAGTGGTAGCCACTGTTGGCCAGTCAGCACTCACCAGTGACCACCGAGTACTGACTAGTCACCACTGCAAGCAAAGCATGACTTTTCTTCTCCAAAATACATACAGGGGAGGAAAAAAACACTAACAGTTTGCATAGAGTCCTATTTCAAAAAAGTCCATACCGGAGTCCGGACTTCCAGCGTGTGTGCCCGTATACGTTAATATATTTATACAGAGTATTCAGTATACATTTTATATTCTTATATTTGTATATTTATATATATATAAATATGTATAAATATATATATATATATATATATATATATATATATATATATATATATATATATATATATATAGTA